GTAGTGCTCAACTGCTAACTGTAGAATGATGACCTGTTTGATTTTTCGAGAAATCATGCAATAGGGAATGTAAATAGGCGTCCACCGAGGAGGCCTGATGGGGAAGCCTGAGACAATAGTCATTTCACACTTACCAGTAACCACGGTCAGAACACTTAGTGCGCATATGCTCACCTGATCGGCAATCAGTATCTTCAAACTGAAACTCCGTCAGGACCCCACCAAAACTCTCTGTTTTCTATAAAAAAAAACCTTGCTTGTTTCTACTCTTAAGGCGTTACGTGCATGTATGCCCGTGCTTCGGGTTCCAAAAGATTGTCAGGGTTGTCACTGACTGAACAGACGGGGCGACCAAGCTGTGGGTGTGTGAACGTAGTGCGCTACGATCATCAGGTCAAATCCCAGGTTCTAAGGAGAAGACGGAATTTACCGGGATGGCTTACTGTATACAGAACTCGAGTTGCACATTCAGGCGGCAGTAGTCACTGGCGAAGCCAGGGCCGGTGTTGTTTGTGTCCAGCCATGCCTGAGAGTCCCTAGGTCAGTGCGGGCGGCCGCTCTTGTAGGCTCGTGGGTCAAGCTCAAAGGGTCTCCAATCGGTATGCGCTGTGTTTTTCGCGGGGCGGCGTCCCAGTTACTTAGGTTTTGGTTGCAGGAGGGGAGGTGGGTGTAAGTGGCCGCATGAGCAGCTGCGGCTGTGTGGGCGCAGGTGTGCCCAAGCTGAAGTCGGTAGAGTGGCTTGAGGTCTACTCGCATGGAACGTCCCGCCGCAGGGGGGTGAATGACCGTGAGGCAGCGAGGCCTTCGACACTGACGCCAGACTGACCATGATGGCTGCCCGCAACAACAGTACCGTCTTAACCGAACCGCATATCTGTTGATACCTACAACAATCGCCTGTATGGTTGCTTTATGAAGTAAAAGGCTCCGTTTGCCTCTTTACATGTAGGTGACAATCATACGGTGCGCTAAAAGCCGTGTCTAGGAGGGTTGCCAGCTGACCGGTAGTTTGGACCTCGCGGTTAGTCCAATGTGTATTTTTGTGGAGTGGCGGACTTGTTGACTGAGAATCAGGATGCAATGGCTCCTTCTTAATTTGGCCTCTATGGCACTCCCGCCCAGTGGAATCTGAGCCGCGAATTCTGATGCAAGAACATTGCATCTCGACATTCGAGACGTTTACACGCCTTGCTAATTGCGGGGGTATGTGAGGTCCCCTAGTATTGCCCTAGGTGACCCTTAGACCTTGCCGGCTAGATAAAGATTCCGATTTCGTCTGCCTGCACCCCCAAGACGCAACTGTTAAAGGAGATTTTCCAGGTATGGTACAAACCTAATGCTTGTAGGCTTCCAAGGACGAGGCGAGGCCTTGGTTCACTACACTAGTTGTTCACTGACGTGGCTGGTGAATGGATGCGACAAATGTTTCACGGCTCCCATCGCGAGTTAATGTTCAACTCATAGGGCCACTTGAATGGTAATAACTCGATCCAGAAGGTAACGGACGCTTTGGGATTGGACGTTACAACTGCCAATCAGAATGGTCTTAAATATCGATCAGTGTGCGCACGCCACTCACACGTGACGGCGCGCGGGGCGCAACACGCCGATGATGGCAAAGGAGCAGTGGAACCCTCTTTCTCGACAGTGAGCGTTTGATGGCACTACAATGCGCACGCAAAATTAACGGAAACCGGGATCTTATTGCCCGCGTACACGTCGAGTAGACGAGCAATATCGGGCTTTTACATATTGAGGGGAATTAGCCCTTTTGATATGAAAGAATCCGCGTCAATATTCCGTGGATTTACACTTGAACGCAGGAAAGCTCCTGACGCTAGCTCTACTGGGGACACTCCGAGAAGAAGACGGAGCACTTTTAAGTTTTCGATCTCAAACCTCTTCAAAAGACCGAAAAAACTTACCGCTGTCGAAGAAGTGGCACCTAAGAAGGTTCGATGTTTTTCATTTGACTTCTGGCGACGACCGAAGTCGTCAGGCAACTCCGCGTCGGATCTAACGGCGGTAGTTACGACGGATAGAGTCGTCCCAAGGGACGCTTCCATCGTGATGTCAGAATGTGAATGCACAAGGAACAACGTCAATGATGACAGTGTCAGCTCTCAGGCGCTAGGTAAACTAAGGAAAACGCTGCAGTCATTGGTCAACGAAGTGCGTAACGATGGTTTTGAACTGACCTCCCTCATCCGCCAATCACTCGCCTCAGCCCGGACAGATCAGGCCGTATGCGGACAGTTAAGTAACATGAACGAGGTGTCTCTCTCAGAGAGTGGAGACTGTTTACCCACGATTCAAAAGTGTTCGGAAAACGCTGATTGTACTCGTACCGAAGACGCAGCAAAAAGTCATCTGACCCCAAAGAAGTTCATGAAAGCCGGTCCAGACGAGAGGCCCGCTGATGCCGCCTCCTCAGACCCAGACGAAGCGGGTTTGTCCGCAAAGTTGCAGATTATAAGCAAAAACTTGCGATCTCTGTTGGGGGAAGTGAAACATGATAGTACAGAACTAGCAACTTTACTTCGTCTTTCGCTGCTTTCATCAAAAGGCTCATCAGGAGATCAAACAGTGGCACCCGCTGTGGCACCACTCCTCCCCTCGTCAAGGGACTTGAATGACCTTCAAAGAAATGTTGACAACCTGGCGAACAGCTTTCGCTCGGAGGCTCAACAAATTAAATCAATGGTCTGCGAATCCCTGCGACGGCGGTCACAGACGTCGCTTAAGGATGAGACTAATTGGAACGTTGACTATACTCCCAACCCTTACAATAACACTCTCATTTCTGCCCCCCTTACGGCCGATCGGTGCTTATCATCGAAAAACGCTGATGTCGACCTAGACGGCGCCGAAATGAGGTCATGTGGCAGATTTGCACCTGTTCAGAGAAGTATGCAGTGCACGATGAATGAAGCAGATAGGGAAGGTGATAGCGGGGAGACAGACGGTTATCAGTGCAAAATCGCAACTTCATCGGAAGATCTTCTTCATTCAAGCACACAAGCTCAACTTGGCATCAATGAGGGCCTTCGGAGGTTGAGACGGAGCATCGGCGATCTGGCAGAGGTAGTTCGTTCGGAAAATCAACAGCTGAAATCAGTCCTTCAGGAGTCATTGCAGGGTGACTGTCCCTCTTCGCAAATATTCGCAGACCGGGGGAGTGAGGCGTCCCTTGATGGTGAACATACCTTAACGACAGAAAACTCTGACAACAGTTGTGCCGTATGTCATCAAGACTCTGAAGCTGTCAAAGACCTCGCGGACGGAATGGGTATCGTGACAAGTAAAATCCAGTCCCTCAAGCAGGTAGTTTACGATGAAGGAGAAACGAAAGCCTCACTCCTGAGAAGGTTGCCTATTTTTTCCTCGTCCTCTTTGGCCCACAGAGTTCGAACTTCCGGTGCCTCTCAAACGGCTGCGAATGAGAAGTTGGAAGAATCGAAGCGCAGTATCTGCGATCTAACCGAGAAGCTTCCTCTCGACAGGAAACAAATCAAGTCCACTCTGGACGAATCGATGGAGAAGAGGCCGATAATATCAATTCCAGTCACTATTCAAGTGAAGGAATCCACCTTGCCAGTAGAAAACACCCTCCAGAGTGAGTCTCTACCTGCAGATGATCTGCCCACAAGACATGACTTCCGAGCCGATGCCAAGGGGAAAGAGCGGATTGGCTCACAAGCTGGCCTAATGGCCGTTCTCGAGGTGGTTGCACGGAGCCTACTGGCACTGGCAGACGAAGTTCACAGGAACAGTCTTGAACTCACTACCCTAATGCGGCAATCTATTCCCTCTCCGGCTGGTGCTACTTCCTCTTCGGCAGCCACTTGCGAGTCTGCCTCAGGGTCCGCTCACGAGAGCCTTGCCCGACTGAGGCGTGGGATCAACGAGCTGATGTTGCAGATCCAGAACAAAAACGCCCAGATGAAAACCATTGTTCAGGAGTGGCTAAAGGGGACTTCTTCCTCGGGGAGGAAGGATGGTGGCAGCTTGAAGAAGGTAGGAGGAGGAGAGCAGAACCATTCTCAAGTCCTGCCCGCTACCTTCTCCGAACGATGCGCCTCCACATTGAGAGAGTCTAGTCTTCCACTGGCTCTGGACATGCTACGGACCAGTGTACGCACACTGACTGACGAGGTACATAACAGCACTGCCGAGCTGACATCTCTCCTGCGTAATTCTGTCCGAGCAGCCTCGCTGGGGTCAGATCAACCCGAGAGGACTGAAGCCCTGCAGGAGCTGCTGAGAATCAGACAGAGCATTGTGGCACTGGCTGAAGAGGTGTGGTCAAAAAACAAACGCATTAAATCGGCTCTTCAGTCATCCATTCAGCAGTCTTCTATCGGCAGCCCCGACTACTCCCAGAGGTCCGATTGCACCTCTTGTGAGTCCCTAAGCCTCACCGGAACTGAAGCGCAATTACTGTCCCCGTTAAGGGTCTCATCTGCAACCTCTAAACTCCCGCACCCTGCTGACGTCCAGGCCACGGAGGAGTTACGAGACATAAAAAAGAGCATCCGGGAGCTGGCCGTGGTAGTACACTCCGGAAAGAAGCAAATCAAGGAGGTCCTCTGTGAAGCTTTGATGGAGAAAAAAGCGGATTTGAGAACGAATGCTCCCTCGGAGACCAGCAGTGCTCACCAAGCAAAAGAAGCCTCATCTACCAATGCTGTGCTCTTGACCGGCCTTGATAGGTTAAATGCCAGTATGCGAAGTCTGGCTAACAGTCTCCATTCCATGCCTGAATTTACTCAAAAAGCCCCTCTGACTGCGAAACCCACTTGTCTTGAGAACAAGGGAGAGGCTATTCACGCGACAACGGACCAGTCGATGCTGAAGACTCTTGAGGAGGTCAAAAAAAGTGTTATGCTCATTACCGGTGCTGGTCAGGGGGATAAACCTAATTTCATTGCTTCAGCACCAACGGTTGAGGATAAAGAAACTGGCGGTGCTGTTGGTAACACTTCTTCTGCGCCGCCTGATCTACAGCATTCCCTCCTGCTAAAGGTACTGGAAACGACTCATGAGAGTCTCCGAGCGCTGGGTCGGGTCTCGGCTCCCGAGGCCAGCCTTGAAGCGGCCAAGAAAAATGAAATAATGCAGCTGATAACAGGAATGCAGGACAGCTTGCGTTGCCTGAGGCAAGAAAAGAGATGGTGTGCAGAGGCTGGAGAGCCGAACAAGACCTGTTCCAGGATCGAGGACGCGTCCCGGAGGGTCTGTAAGCCAAAAAAGACAGCATCCCGTAGGATTGACGAGTCAGCGGAAAGGTGCGAGGAATCGTCGGTGTCACTAAGACGAACGTCTGTCACATCGGTACACAAGAAGACGGGCAAAAAGGGCAAGGCAAAAAGGAGGAAGAAAAACGTGAATAAGAGACTTGAAAAACGGGACTCGGAAGAAGGAGAAGATGGTGACAGGGGACGGACGCGGGGGGATGCACCTGCAAACTGTGGGGGTCACGTGGCTTGCCAGCATCAAATGGGATACCCCCAAAGAGTGACCACCAGTTACTATGCGCCGCCCCCAATGGCTCCTCCGTTAAGATACTGGAGGTTTCCTCCACACACGGCAGCGATTCGCTGGCCCCCACGTTCCATCTTTCCTCACATGCCCATGGTGCCTCCCGCGCAATGGGATACGCCTGTTCCAATACCCAAGGCCTCAACGCAAATGCAGCCGGCCGCCTCTGCCATCAAACCCCCTGTTGAAGTTAGGAGGAGACAGTAGACGACTTGGAGCTCTCCGTATCAATAAAAACATGAACTTGAGTGCTTTTATCTAATGATGATAATCACTGTCAAAGATATCATCTATATCCCCAGCATCATCCTTATCATAATCATCACCGCCTCTGCCGCCGCCGCTGCCGCTGCCGACACCGCCACCATCATCAGCGCCATCGTCGCAACTAGCACAAAAACACGCTCCTCTCCCCCGTGACAATCATCCTCTTCCTCAACATTGTCATTACTATGCTTTCTGCCGCTCTTCAGTCCATAACTTTCAACAGTTTTCTTGGTTCCCATTCAACGAGCTAAAGCGCGATTTTTCACCCAAACGAATCCTGTGAAAGTTGTACTTTTGCTTTCAGAAACCTTATTTGTGGCATAAGCTTGTCTATCCAATGGTTATTTTACAGTTGTTGAATTATCATTTCAAGGCGTCCGTCCGTGAAGTGTGAGGATCGCGTTACCACTGCCATTGCAGATACACTCTGACTGACTATAGAGGATAGCCGAAAGGTAATAATATAATCTAAAAAAGCAAGGGCTGTCGAAATGGTCGTTTCGGGCTGATATTCCGTCATCAGCCGTATGGTTCTAAATGCCAGGCTTGGGATAGTTTCAATTCTGTTTCGACATGAGTATTGACCGCCCTTAGTTTTATTATTTATTTTATTGGGAAAAAGTAGTTACTACACCTGATGATACTACATCGTTCGGCGAGTTCTCATACCAAACATATTACAGCCCAACTACTTGCGACTGATAACCACTCAAGCCATGTATTCCGACCAATTCTAGAAAAAAGTCGAAAACCTCTGTCAACCAATAATTACTGTATATTATGACATTCCGCTCCTCAAAAACGCATACCTACAGCTTTTCAGCGTGCATCAACTTCGAAGGCGAGTCTACATACACGGAATTACATCAATGCAGAACAAATGTTAGACTATTTTTCATGAGATGAAGTTGGCTTCGAGCGTAAAGAAAGTTTGCCTCTCTCTTGTGAGTCATCTGCATACATCTACCTAAGTTGACTAAAGAAGTTATCGATTTTTCCCGCGTGTCTTGCACGTGACACAATAATCGACCCACTGAGTACGCACGGCTGAAACCGCGACGCCTGACAGGTTCACCCACGTCCACGGGGATCAGGCCAATAATTTCGGCAGCAAATACCAAGAGGCACCGCTCCAATGCCTGCCAGAACGTTTTCCAGGACAACTAACAGTTTAGAATCGACAGAGGACTCTAGACCCAAAAAGCACTGCTTTCCTCTCAAAGCAAACAACAATCGACAACGAAGCAAACAATCCAAGATGTCGCCTGCGGCGCCGGAAACAAATGTCGGATCCATACGGAGGCTCACTTCCCTCGGACGTAAGGAGTCTCTCAGCAAGCTGGAACGTCAGGAGAGTTTGCCGGCGTCCATCGCAAGTGGTCCTACCGGTGGGATTCCGGCAGATCTTGCCAGCGTGGCTACTAAAGGTTACGGGAGCGTTATTACTGGAGGTCATTCCAGTATGACTACTGGTGGCTATCCGAGCGTAGTTACTGGCGGTCACCGCAGCATGGGTTCAGCAAGTCAGGCCAGTCTGGCTACAACAGGTCGTACCAGCGTGGCGGACATGAGTCGTGGTCTTCAGCGACTTACAGAGGAGGTGCGAGAGGGAAGGAGCGATTTGACTGACCTGCTAAGTAAGTACCTGTGCCAGGTGAAACGACCCCCACCCTGCCCCATATCACCTTGTGGCATAGCTTCCGCAACTCCGGCATGCAGGATTGGGGGATGTGAACGAAAGGTCCGTGACTCAGAGGCAGAAGGGAAGACTGAAATACAGCCCCTCTTTCGCATCCTGTTGGGGGGAGGAGAGGCTAATCAGTCCGGACAAGGTCGACGGAGAAATACAGCCGTAGAGGAGGACCCTGGTTCTGTCTGCAAGAATGGTTCCGCATCTGGACTGCCGAACTTTATAGAGGAGCTGACAAAAGGTCTCCAGGTTCTGATCCAGCAAGTGCAGAACGACAAGATAGCCCTCAACGTCATGGTTCAGCGAGCCCTTTCAACTCCCAGATGCCCTCAAGCGACGCCGTTACCATCCTGCCCTCTCCCCTCACCTCCGTCTTGCAAGGTACCCAGCTGCCAAAATCGGATGTTGGAACAGCTGGAGGGGGTGAGTCAGGAACTGGAAGCCCTCACTAGACAGGTTCAGGAAAACGGCACGGAACTGACATGTTTGCTTCGTCAGGCCCTAAATCCCTGTCAACCGGTCTGCCCTCTTCCGAAACCCTGCTGCCCTCTAACCAACAGGGCTTCCCTAGCCCAAGAAAACCCCGACGGCCTAGACGGTGAACTGAAGTCTCCTATGCACAGGGACTGTCCAGCCACTCCACGACCCTGCTGCCGTCCAGCCAGACCTGACCCCACCTGCGAGCTGGAGATCATTAGCCAAGTTGTGGAACAGTTGGGCTGTGAAATTCGTGCCGAAAACGAAGCCTTGACCTGTCTACTGAAACAGGCTCTGGAACGCGAAGCCCCCGCCTGCTGCGACCTACCGCCGCCGCCTTGCGGACCACCGTCGCCGACGGAGGCAGAACTCTGTGAACTGCAGTGCAGTCTTCGACAGCTGGTCACAGAAGTACACGCTGAACAGCGACAGCTGAATGCAATGATTCGCGAGGCTCTGGGTTTGCCGGTATGTCCGGACCCCTGCACACCGCCAGCACCACCTGGACCCAGTTGCACAATGTTGTCAAACCTGCAGCAGTTGAAAGACAGTCTACAAAAGATATCCGAGGAAGTCTGCTGCAGGGAGAGCGGGCGGAGTAGTAACACTGCGAAAGCCCTCAAGGAAGTGGAGGAGAGTATTGCGCAACTGAGCCGCGACCTGCTTGAGCCACCGCCGACTTGTCCGAAACAGGTGGACGCCGGAGTCGACGCGAATAATGTGCTAATAAGGGAGATTGTGAAGCTGATAACTGAAGCCAGTGGCGGAAAAGTAAAAAAGAATAAGAAGAGCGTTGCATCAGCTACCTGTGGCGCAGAATCGACTAGTGATGTGCTTGGTGCGGTTTGCAAGATACGGGAGTGTCTGGAGCGCATGAGCGGTGCCGGCTCCACGAAAGATAAGTCTGAAGAGACAGGAAGGACGGACGACGAAGAGGAAGGGGGAGAGGGTGGGAAACAGTTAGAAAAGACTGCGGACTACAACGATAAAGGTGGGGGTGGGGGAACTGACACCTCCAAGGAGATTAAACTCACCTTCCAGATTATGGGTTTCCCTAACTCTTAGCTCCAGCGCAGATCTGAGCATATAAACGCGACGCCGATCCACTTAACGATCCTCGCTGACCGAATAACCAGGAGCACAAACAAGACCGTTGACCAGTCTTTTTCTTAGCCTCTTATTTATCGTTTATTAGTTTGTTTTGCTTATTACTTTTATTTGAAAGGCTGTATATTAATGTCAACCTGAGTTGAGCTTTATTTGAAATAAAACATGCTTCAGAGAGAGGAAAGGGGTGGAGGAAACTTCAGTAAGTTTTTCATCAGAGCAAAATATTTGAGTCTCCCTACAACCAAAAAAGATTGTGAAGACGTAGACACTATCGCTGGAAGAGGAGCTTGCCTGACGCTTTATTTGCCTGACGCTTCGAATTCCTGCTTGAGTCCGTCATCAGAGACAATAGCATCTCTCGCTCTTAAATGTGGTCTATTCGTAGTTTTAAGACATTTTCTTTTGGAACCGGTACCATCGCCCCAGAGCCGTTTGAACGCGTGACGTCCCTGCAGTCGACAATAGCTGGCCGGTGTACCCCGTGTTCCAAGTCCTGCAGAAGATACACGACTCGGGAAATTGGCAACTTGTACTGACACTAGAATGCCCAGAAAGTTGACGCACACCCACCGATAAACGCATCTGTCACTTGGGCCCTTTTATGATGGAGTGCGTGTGCCGCAACCATGAAAGTATGCTTCGAAATTTTTAGGTGTTTAGCATATTATACTGTGATCAAACCGATCTCTAATACCTTGCGTAAAAATTTTAATTTCTAACTAACAGACAAGACTTGGGGTGTAGATTCTTACGGCGTCGTATTTGTCCATTTCGTAATGCAGCCGAAAGGTTTTACGTTGTGGCAACCATCTGTTGGGAAATTCTAGAAGCATTTAATGCTTCACTCATAATGACGCCAATGAATTTATACTTTTCCTCAAAGTAAAGGGCTGCAACTTATAGTGTGGAAATTCTTAGCTCAAGTACAACTGCAGACCGTGCGCAAACAGTAGTCGAGAGTAAAAAAGATGTTAAAAACCTTATAATACTTTTTTACATGTCACATAATTTGAAAAATTGTTTGTTTTTCTGCCAAATAAGTGCAAAAAGGGGTATAGGTGGGCATGTTTTCAATAAAGTTGATTTGATTTTACCAGGCAGCACAATCAGCAAGGAAGATGAATACTCCAGGAGCAGTCTTTCATAGACCGAACGCTTTTGAAGAAGGCTGATGCAAAACTCACTCAAAGCCGAATTCGTAGTGCGACTTAAACATCTCGGGGTTGCACTGTAGATTAACACGTATTGCACTCTTGAAGGAGACACGATCGCTGGGACAAGAGCTTTATTAGCCTGACGTTTCCTATTCCGTCTCGAACCCATCATCAGAGACAGAAGCAGATAGGGGTGGTTCATGCACAAGGGGCTGGAGTATTTATAGGAGGTAGTTGCCAAGCTACCGCATACCTGTAAACATTGACGGCTTCCCTCCGCTTCATCGGGGATTGTTTCACTAGGTGTGATGACCATTCAATGGCTGCCATTCGCGTCGTTAATCGCTGCAACTCCATCACGGTGTTGGAGGTTGGTGCGATGATTGCTCGAGATGAAATTGCAGCGGTTAATGACGCGAATAACGGCTATCAAACAGTCATCACACCAAGTGCAACAATCCCCGATGAAGCGGGGGGAGCCGTGAATGGTATGTCGTAGCTTGACGACTGCATCATATAAATACTGCAGCTCCTTGTGAATGAACCACCCATATCAGCTATTGTCTCTGATGATGGACTCGAGCAGGAGTCCGAAACGTCAGGCGTATATAGCTCTTGTTCCAGCGATCGTGTCTCCTTCTTCGCGACTGCTCCCTGTGACTCGCCTCTTCGCTTCTATTGCTAAAAGAGATTCCTTACATTGGGTTACAAAACCGATCAGTGTGGCACACAGTTTCAATTTAGCTTATAAGCCTCGGAACGTTGATTTCTAGGTAGCGGTCATCCATGCCGTCGGCCAGCATTACTAACGTCCAGTTTGCTAAATGAATTGCATGGAATTGACTTTAATTGTACATAAATATGCAATGGATGGGAGAGCGATGGAAAAGGATGGAGTTTTGAAAAATGTTCGTATTCCGTGGACGGGTTCAAACAGACCCCGAAAGTGACCCGGAAAATTGAACACTAGCGAAATTTAATCCCAAAACCCAAAGGAAGCTAAATATGGCGCCTGGAGAATAGAACGCCTAGTCCACAGATTAAGGCAGCGAAATAAACAATAGGAACTCAGGGACGAATGACGTTGGCGAACCCCATAAGAGTAAAGTGGGAACGTTGACCCAAAGGCCCGACACAATGATGCTGAACAGCGGGATACAGGGAAGCCGCCAAGGTGGCCAGCAAAGGTTAAATATACCAAATTAGCGTGTGTATTAAAATTTAGCTTTTTGATCCTTTCCCTACGCGCTTGACGTCGGCGATTAGGTCTGCTAACAGGATTCAACAATTGTCACTAAAAGGCAACAAAATCCAACACAAAGGCAAAGACGGGTCAGGTGAGCAATGAGAGCGTTGAGGCACGCAGGGCGTGCGCACTGCAGTGTGAGAAAGCAAAAAGTGGCACTGGGGCGAGCGTGAGGACTATCGGGCGCCGGAAGCTAATCGATAAGCAAGTGCAAGTATACGCGGCCGTTTGCGGCCTTCGCGGCGTCGGCGCAGCCGACCCAACAACCAATCAAATCGCGAGCTGGCTTAAAACCGTTTACCCCCCTCGAGTACACTAGCTCGCGGCGAGCTCGCTTGCTATTAGGGTCATGCGAAAGTGATAGAGAATAAGGTCAGTTGAGCACAACCGTATGTTATCTTGAAAAAACGCAATCAGTGTATCCAAATTAGACAACGCTACTTTCGTACGAATCAGTATGCAGTAATAAGTAATATGCAATATGGGTCGCATATTGAGTCCTTTCCCGGCGGTCTTGTGTGTGCAGAAGAACTTCGCGCCTGCCCCGCATTTGCCAAAAGTCAGCTAACCTCAGGTTAGCAAAGTTGAGAGACCTGCGACTGTAACTACTTTGGGCAAACCGGGCGGAAATGGCCGACTTGACTATAAATAGTCAACTTGGAGGCTAGACTCGAACTCTCAACTTCCAGCGCACGGTGGAAAAACTGGCCATATTTTCGATTTGCAGGGAGCTGCCATCTTAGGCAGGATGAGACTATCGCACACGACTTAAGGCCGCGCAGACAGTCCAACGATGAACTTATTTGACGAGGAGGAAAAAGAGCCGTCAGACCGAACAAGCCCGGCGGAGGCTCAACCACCACACCCTGACGCGTTGGCAACTCGCAACTCACGCAGCCAAACAGCCCGCCAACCTCCTCCCCCCGTCGCCGACTGATCTAGGCAGCGAGAGAAACGAAAAATCGATCATCATGGGGCCGACCAGAGTGGGGTGTCACTCCTATTTTTGTACGACTAAGCGCATTCTGTGCTTTGGCAATGGTGGGTCTACCAAGCTCTCCGAAACGCCAACATTCCAATAAAGTTGTTTCGGTGACCCTCCCCTGTTTTTCATAGTTAACCTGCCAACTTTTTGTTTTTTCCCACCCCTTCCTTACGTCCCCCCTGACATGAGTCTTCCCGACCAACCCTTCCAGTCACGCTGACCGTCATCACTTGACTAAATTGACATTGTCTCTGCTTGTCCACTCATATTCCTCCCCCCCCCCCCCTGCTTCTGTGAAAACATACACATTGCTCGATTTTTTGGTATGATGTGGTCATGTAGCCGCACCTGATGGACACAATACTGTTAACGTGCTTAATATTTTTAAGTTGGCGTGAGTACGTTGACATGGTGTTGCTGTGCGTTGCGATGTGTGTTCTGTTGACGGCCTTGTTTCTTTGTTGCCGTGTCAACCTTTTTCGACCCAATGCCATTGGTCCTTCTTGACTTTCGGCCTGCCGTCTCGTTCTAACTTTCGCGTTGGATGTTTCAGGGTTAGGGTTTAGGGCTGTGGTTAAGGGCTAGGGTTACTGGTTATGGTTAGGGCAACTACTTCTCAACCAATCAAAGTACAACTGCGCATTCCCAATAGCTTTCCTCTTGCATACAAGTACTTGACCTCGTCGCCTGTGCGTTCCCCGGTCCCACCTGCAAAAACCCCTATTGCCATCGATCCCGTATTACAGGTGTATAGGGTTCGTTTACCTTAGACGCAACTGCATAACCACATCTGACCGATTTTTTATTGCTCATTTGCTTTACTTGACCCCGTAATCATATAGGTGTGCGGACTTGCTGAGAATTTATTGAAAATAAGTGCCTGATTGCCATGTAGTCATCTGACTGACCATTTTCTAACCCCCACTCACAGTACCAATGAGCATGCAACTTGTCCATAATCGCCCACATCGGGGATGGTTGAGTTGCCACATTTTATGGCCGCTTTTGGCTGTTAGCATAATTATTATTTCACAATTTGGCTCGCTGGAAACATTTTTCACCCACTTCATCCCCGCGTACCTATTTACCCTGCCCAGGCAAAGTCTTAATGCAGAGTATTGAAGGGGAGTCATTACGTGCCGCGGATCGGGGAACCAGGATTAAAGCAGTTCGCGGCTGGCGTGTTTTTCATCTCCAACCGGTATTTCGGTGCCATAAAGGTGCGTTCGGGTAGCGACTTCAGGTCTGGCGTCATTCCTCTTCACACCTACCGCAAGTTCTATCATCCTCATCCGGTGTAATATCAAAATTTCTCCGACATGGTTACCTTGACCGTAAGTGCATCATATGCGGCAGATGACTTAGGACGTTTCGTGCTACGGTAACTGACTTCTTGACCTAATTACTCGGGGTTTGTAATCTGTTTGCAACCCAAAATTACGTGAGAAGACCGCCGACGACTTCTGAGACGTTCTTGGATTTTGGCAACGTTTACCTTTGCCATTTGGATCCAAACCTCGCCTTTGTAGGCCATGCTTGAGTGAGTTTTGTCGATAATAGTGCACTCTGATTAGTCGTCCGATTTTGAGGGTTTGCTGTTGATGCCTGGCGTGTGCGCCCTATTTTTCGCCTGGCTAGACTCTTTAGTTTTTGGGCCACTTCAATTTTTACAGCAGTCGAAGACATCGAGGAAGGCGGGCTGGTTGGTTTCTTCGTCCTCCGTACTGCTTCTCCCAGAAGACTGTGTTCAGACGCCTTTCGAGTGTCTACACCTGACACCGTTCAACAACGACGAAGCTACCATCCAAACACCAAACCCAGAATTGCAGTCTGTGTTTTCGAATGACCAGCGATTCCGGTCGTTGGAAGACCGTCTTGTCTATGAATTACGAAATCGGTAAGCCCATTGGGGTTCCGTTAACTTGCTCGTCGATGGTGAGGTTCTTCTTTAGACAGCACCTCAGCGATTCTCTTCTTCGTCATATTTAGCCTCCTGTGGTAATTCGATGGTCTGGACTGCTAAATCCAGAGGAATGAAAGTGAAAAGGGACGTGACGACCTCCTTCGCATCTGGCATACCACCACAAGTTTCTCCAGAAACTGTATAGACAAACACTGTATACTCAAACGAAGCTGTACATGAACGTTATACCGACGGGTGTAAACTCATTGCAACACGCCAGCCGCCAAACTGGACGAGATAAAGCTCCTCCAAGAACTCTTCAGAACCAACGGCTATCCGCGAGCATCCGTTGCACGAAGCCGAAGTCAACCAAGGAAGCGGAATGAAGAGCAGTCAGCCAAAATCGTGGCGGGGCATTCCGTACATGAAAGAGGTCTCCGAAGCCATGTCTAGATCCCTCGCGCCGTCTGGAATGGGCGCTGCCCACAGGTCCGACTCAACAACCTGCCGGCAAGTGATGCGACCAAAAGACCCAATCCATAAACAGGAGATGTCTGCCGTTGTTTACTGGCTTCAATGCAGCTGCGGGAAGTGCAACTACGCTGGGGAAACCGGCTGACGACTGCAAATGCGAATGCACGAGCATAGGTTGGCCGTGAGGTTGGACCCAAAGTCGGAGGTAGCAACCCATGCCGCGCAGATGGGACATATCTTCAACTTTGAGGCAATTGAGATTGTGGGCCTGGGCGATGATCATACAACAAGGCAGGTGCAAGAAGTCTGTATGTCCGCGACTGCTCTATCAACCGCCACACCAGTTTGCCTCCTCCCCCCCCCCCCCCCCCCCCCCCCCCCCCCCTACCTGGCTTCGCGAAACATCTTAATGGGGGAAAGTCACGGCAAGGGACAATCGGGGTCGTTAACTCTCACCTCGGCCGACGAGGACGGGGACGATTCAGGTCATGGTGACATGCGGGTCGGATGCAGCCACACAGGCGGCATTGGCGGGCACGCATCAAACAAAATGCTGTAAGCATTACGGCCTAGTCTCCGAAGGTACGTGTGCGAAGCAACTACTCGAAACGTCGGACCGTTAATAAACTCCTCCCCCGTGAATGCCTCCTCTTTTTTGACGTGTCACCTGGGTATCGTATTATCACTACCATTGATAGACAAATTGGCTGCAGTATCTATATCAGCAGTCAACAGGTTAAGACGCCGAAGCAAGTACATGGAAAGCCTTTAATTGGTATGATTTATCGCAGGCAAGCCCCCCGAATTTTGTGATCTGGGGAGGTCAGGCAACCGGATGAAGACAATTTCTTGATGGAGCGATAGATCTACTCCTTCTCAACAACTTTTCGGAATCCGTCTTCTCTTATCTATCGAAAACAAGCACCCTTGAATTGGAAAACTACCGAGTGACACGTAGGGGCATTATGGTCGCAGGTAAGTTTTCTTATGAGATTAATTGATCGATCATGTAAAGCAGAAAATATTTTCTGGTGAAAATAAAGTTCCCTTGCAACATTCGATTAAGTAACATACGAGATTTTGATCTAAAGTTCAACACCTACCTACCTTGGTAATGTTTTTTGTCGTGTCCACGAGGAAAGCCGAAATTGCTCTACATGGCTTTCTCCCGATTATCTAGTATTGGAGTTTCTAAGCTCAGTTATGCATTTTCGGCCGCAGTAGTAATGTTCTGGTTCAGTGATTGCTTGGTTAAAGTGAGGACTTGTTTTGTTCCCACAGGAAGAGGCGCACATCAACCTGTTTGGCTTGCCCTAGCAAACTCCAGATAGTGTGTGGTGGAGGCCGCGAACAGTTGTAGCTGTAGGCTAACAAAAACGTGGGTAGACAGCGTCAGCGGCTGTTTTGGGATTTTGAACGTCCTCTCCCGTCGGTCATAACCCCAACTAACACCTACCACTGGAGACACGCAGGCGGATCACAAATATGATCCAATTACAGCGTACTTGAACCACCAAAACGCCACCTGTCGGCGTCTTGGCCCCTGATAGCAACTGTGGGAGGGAATAGTGTGTTTATTCAGCGAAGACTTACCTTGACTATCTACTCTTATGCTCAAAAGTCGTTTAACGAAGAGAAGACTAGATCAAGCGCTGTTTTACTGTTATGTACTTCCGAAAGTACACCCTACTCGCGCGTCGCCATGATCTGAACATGCCAACGCCTTAGGACGCACCGTTGTCGGGACTGGAGGGCGAGGTCCATGTCAGGAGGGCCGCCCTAGCTGGCTCGGTTGCACGCAACCCTAACGACGCGCTCACGCGCCGTTATATCGACCCGCCCACGAGGTGTGAGCGTGGAGATATCGCGCCAGCTACTGTCAGGATTGGAGGGATGCCCAGCCACTCAAATGAGTCAGAAATCCAGTCGACATACTAATGGCTCAGGGGCGTGATCTGATTGGCTCAATTCTAGGCCGACCTTGAGTATTTCTGTAGATGCCTTTTATCGCCAGATTTAGCTGTTGGGACCTAGGAATAGACTTCTTATCCTCCCAGCCTCGCTGTTGAATTCTTTTTGGGGATTCGATCATGGAAAGTTGTAGAACGGGCTACCAACTAGGCTTTACGGCAAGAACATAACACTTCATTCACCGTTAGTAATGCGATTTGGACTGAAATTATTTCGACTGTCCGCGTTTGTCCCCCTTGACGTCAAAATACTTCCACTTTGCGTGAAGATGTTGGTACAGTGACAGGCTGGAAATACACACGAGTTGAACCAAATTTTGACTGCATCAAGCAGCCTACGAATTAATTGACTGCAGTACCGGAGATGTTTTTTGTGCGAGCTCTAGTAACCACTGTCACTGTCAAATAACCGTTCAGATCCTAAAACAATTTAATGTCAAAGAAACAACAGATGAATGCAAATGCTTACAAAGGGAAAGCAATGAAAGGAAATTGTGGGGAAATGAAAGCAAAATGTTCAGCAAAAGCAGGAAAGCTTTAAAGCGCAGTGATTAGCCTGCCCACGGTTAAGACTGGCGTCACTAGAGCCCAATGAATCTCGTCGGTCCTTTTTGACCAAGGTCTTGGTCGGCTTCAGGTCAGTGACAGTTCCACGCCCAGTTGAGGGCTTTGCGCGCGAGGAATCCTTGCTTGATGGCAATTTCTCTGAATGCGATACCGTGTCCTTCCTCATTTGCTGAACAGCAGGTGTTGGGGGCTGTTGTCTTGAGTAGTCCAGTCTCGTGTATTCGGAGGCTAGACGGTTCTGGGGAAGTGCTTCGGCTACCGGTGAAGTCTGTTGGGGTCTGGGGTGTTGGACCAACGGTGGGAATACCCGTGATCGGGGGTCTGCTGGGCAGTACTCACCACAATGTCCTTCAGGCGGCCTGACCATCGTTGGGGCGACAGCGGGGGTTGCCCAGGCTCCAACCACCATTGGCATCATCATCATGGCATAACCTGCAACAGCCGGTGAAAAGGCGTTCGGTTGCCAGACATAGCTTGAGTGCCTTTGATAACTGTAGCCTGGTGAGGCTGCTGCAGGTGTATGCCCAGTTAAGCAGTAGATAACATCCAGAGGTGTATGCTTAGATGGTTGACTGGGTCGATCGTCCTCTGCATTCGCAAACTGTTTTTTAATCTCTGTTTCCGCCGGCTGCACTGAACTCTGACTGAAAAGTCTAACAGATTCTGTACTGAGCGTCTTTTGATCGGAATCACTGTCCTCAGTCTTGGCGTCTTCAGAGAGGCGTACACTCTGTCTGATGGTATCCTCTGACCGGCTGGCACATCCCGAGCAACCCACCGCAGGGTTTTCTGATAGCTTGATCTGATCCTGTGTTTGCTTCTTTGGCGAGCCTCCTAACTCGTCCTTTACTGCGGGCCTTGGGGCTTTCGATATAACCACAGATTCCTCGGCAGAAACCAAATTGTCTTTCCACACTTCTTGCTTTTTCAAAGCACGCAGTGACTGACCGATCTCAGCAAGAGTGTCTAAAAGCTGACTTTGTTCGTTTCGTTTGGATTTACTACGAGGCGGGGACTTCGCTTTTTGAAGATTTATACTTTCCCTAGCGAGATTAAGCGCTCCAATGAGGATGAGGTCAGTTGGAGATGGAGAATTACCGATCTTTCCCTTACTTTTAGAGACGGGAGAGACAGCTGTGGGCACAGTGACGTGACAACGACCCACTTCCGATTTGTGGCTCTCTAGGTCTTTGGCGATGGCTGTCACAGAGTTTCTGATCTCAGTGAGGGCTACGAGCACTTCCGTACTCAGAGCGGATGGGGCAGAGGTTGACGCTGCGGTACCCTGAGTCTGCAAAATGTTATCGCACACCTGACGTGCAGGGTGGCTTTCCGCGGCCTGTTGCGCGACTGACTTCACGAGATGGTTATCTGTAATCTTCTCGTGAGAGGTATCAGGCAGCTTGACGGAGTTTATCGATTTCTGGACTCGGGGCTGTCCTACGTCCTTGTTCGTCTCAAAAGCCCTGCGTAGCGGAATGTCTAGTTTTCGCACCATTCTTCTTCGTGGAAATCTCGGGACTTGGGTCTTGGGTGGGGCTTCGGGGGTGTTAAATAGTCCAGATTGATGGATTTGATCTAATCTGGTAGTCGGGGCCGTTGTTGTAACGCCCTCACCATGCGGAAGGACAGGAATTGAGTGGACGTCCTTTGGAGGGGGTGGGGTAGCTATAGTGCTACCAGCGCCAGGAAGCCACGATGCATCTGCCTTGTGACCTGCCTCTCCACACAAAACTGCACATTGGTTCGAAGCTGGTGACCTGCCTTTCATGACTTCTCTCCATTCCGTGGCACCTCTGAGAGCGCAATTTAAGGGGGTTCCAACCACCGCGCCAACATTGTTATTGCCGTACCTGGGGCAAGTACCTGCCCGAGAGGCAAGTGAAGTGTGAGCCATTTGAAGAAACATCTGTCTCCTCCGCCATCGGTCCATTCGAGGACAGACTGGAGGGAAGTAGGCATGTTTATCGATCTCTGATTCGAAACCCTGCAGTTGCAGTACACCACGTGATGATCAGGCTCTTCTCTATACCGCCTGCGACGTCTTAATGATTAGAAACTGGCATAGCTGCGCTGCCGTCCAGGGTTTGTGACGGTACCAACTTTAAAGGGGAATATTTGACGAGCACTGGATGAAAAAAAGCAGACCTGAAAAGGCGCACCGGACTGGCTGCAGTGAAATGACTTATTTTATAATTTTAACACAGGGTAAAGAATAGGTACTGTTACGGAGACCCCCCCTAGGACAGAACAAGCGAAAAGCGCGGGTGAGAAACGAAGACGCAGACTACGTGATTGGGAAACAACCAGTCATCTAGAAGTCAGTACTAGGCCGTCGGCTCCAATGGCATAAGCAGACAGCCAATCAGGAGCTGAGCATTTATTCTGGAAGTCTGGGCACTCCTCATACGCCCGCACCTGGCCACTACGTGCGCAGCGAAGTACGCGTAAGAAAGTTCCCCCACATTCCCACACCCCGCCTGTGTTTTAAGGAGAACTTTTATCGATTTCTCTTATCGATGACATGTTTTACTTCTACCCCGTTCCCAGATAACTGTACTGCCCCGACGAGAATTTATCGAAAGCTACGTATGCTCGCCACCTAGTCTTCTGATTACCGCTATTGGAATTTTCGCAACTCCAAAACAATAAAAGAAGCCAAGGCTTAGCTCGCCTTTATGCTCAGAAAAGGCTTGTCTTCTAAACCGCATTTACAGACTCGTCGTGTACATAAGAGGAATATTTCGCTTTAGATTTTGTTAGGGCTGTGTTTGAGCGCTCTTCCAAAGGGCGGAAACGCTCTGCAGTGGAGCACAGAGGAGAGTACAAGATCCACCGCATCTTCGGGACCAACAAGCGAACAAATGCTCCCTAAAAACTTTATCAGCCGCCGTCTCCATACGCACCCCCCAACACTCCAGCACCCTTTGTTGTATATACAGAATGCACCAGAAGCATCAGAACGCGTTGCCGCAGAGCTTAGCATGGGTTTCGGACATCACGGGTGGGCCATGGGGCGCAATTTATCACCTTCCATGCCATAACTATCCCTAACATTATACAGGCCAGGCAGGACGGCGAATAGACTCATGAATACTCGACCACGAACGAGCCGTTTAGAGAGGCGACCCACTGTTTCATGTCACTACTCACGCCAGAGGAAGGTCATGAATTTGTTGTGACCAAGCGGTGTGAGTGTGTCCCTGTCTGTGCGTTACCATCGTCGGAGTTGTCCTCTCAGGCAGCAGTGGCCACTGGCGAAGTCGGTGACGGCAGCCGCTTTTGTAGGCTCGTGGACGCCAAGGTCAAGTGGTCTCCAATCGGTGTGCGTGCTGCATTTTCCGAGGGGTGGTCTCCTAGTGATTTAGGTTACGGTTGCCGGGGGGAGGTGCGTTCAAGGGGCCTCATGGGCAGCTGCGGTTGTGCGGACGCAGGTATGCCCGAGCCATCGGTCGTGTGACTTCAGGTCAGCGCGTCTGGAACGGCTCACTGCAAAAGGGTGGATGACCTTGAGGCGGCGAGGTCTTGAACAATGACGCCAGACCGGTCATGATGGCTGCCCGCTACAAGTTCGACTTAATGAGCATGCAGATACGGGCGCCAGCCGGCAACGAGACAGGATGGAACCTGCTGGAGACATGTGGGCCTGTCACCAAGTTCATCAACAGACACACTGTTCATTTGTCGTTGCACTCGCGTAGTCGTTGACAAATGGTTCCTGTACGAGTTCGCAAGCTCAGGCTAATACACCTGCTGTTCCGGTGATTGCGTCTTCATCTTCTGTATGATCTTAAATTGTGTTTACGGAAGACGTTTACCGCCGCCTGACTTCGCAGCTGGAACTTTCTAATCTACATCCTATGCATACCCTCCTCGTAGCAATGTGATAAAACTTCACCATCGATTCTTCCTTTGCTACTGCTCCTTGTATTCACAGACTTGTCTGCGCTAAACCTGTTTTATGCAAACCGAAGAACCAGTCCCGAATGAAATCGTAGAGGCAAACTGTCGGTTGCAGGACGGACACCTCCGGTATTTCCCGAGTTGTGTACGGCTCGAGCCCCTGCCATTCTTTGGCTGCGTCCTCTCACGTCGCATCTTTCTTGCCTTCGCTTTTTCTCCCACAATCCCTGCCAGTAAAGTTCGCCCACAGTGAGCTTACCGCAGAAACCTAATCCGAGAGTATGAGACCCTGGCTTCTGCGACCTTCAGGTCCGGCTCCAAGTGGAAAGAGAAGATGGATGCCAGCTAGGGATAACCTGTGCAGGTGTCGGAAAGAGAGTTAGCAACTGGACAAATGCACGTCCGGCGCCGGGGGAGGGGGAGGCGGCGCCCCAAGCGTCCGTCAGGGCTAAGCGTCTTAGGGCAGGGCACGCCTTACTAGGCCTTGAATCTGATTGGCTAGTTGGAAAGCCGAGTGGGGCGGATGACAGACAGCCCTGCTGCGCGCGTGCAAACATTCGCGAGAGGCCGAGCGTTGTGACAGGCGCTCAAAGTAGGGTCACCACAAGTTATTCGTATCTGGTAGTGTGTGGATGTTTACGTGCTTGCATAGGCAACCAGTAGTGATAACAAACTTACGTTTTGACAGTAGCTTAGATAACCTTAGTTAGGCGTTACGATATTTAAAGCAGGCATAGACAGTAGAATTTATTGGAACCAGTAAATTTTGCGACGACTTATCAACTGCAGCCTGTCGTTGCATAACACAGATAAGAAGTGAGAAAGATACAGAGGTTTGAACTTCCACAGAGAAAATCAGTGTAGAACAGCAAGGTCATGGTATATTCCACATAGCCCAATCAATAAAGTCGTAACTTCAAAACGCAACATAGGAAAGGAAATGGGGAAGTTAACATACCGAGGAATTTCGTAAATCAAAAGGGCTCAGATCTACCAGGGCGATCTGAGGTTGACCACGTGGTCTAACTGTTTACATAGGTCGGGTTTCTCCCGCCGTATATAGGCTGCCTCCAGGTAGTGCAATAACCGAGTAGTTCATGTTCGAAATAATACTCGAAAAGACGTTTTGGGATCAACCGAATGACCGCTATCAAGGAGGTGTTTTGTAATAGAAGACCGCGGAATTCTATCCTTCTACCTTAGAAGTCATTTAGGCAGGTGCTCAACAGACCTGGCTGCCAGTTGCCTTTGCGTTCGCCCAATGTACTTGCATCCACAAGTGCATGTAAGTTCGTAAACACAATTTGACGTGGCGTGTAGTGGCATGGCCCGAAGCATAACATGTAAAGCAGTTTACGAAGGCAACAAGACAAATTGCCTTTTATGACTTATTCCAAAGACAACCTCAACTGTGGGTGATTTCGGCGAGCAGGCAAGATCGAGCAAGATATAAGGCCAACCTCTTTGTTGAAACTGGGAGCGATGGCTTGTGTTGTGGGGTGCGAACAACGCGACAATTCGACCGATGACGCCAACCAGTCCTGGCAGCGGTGACTTGCGCAGCGGCTGCCGCATCCCCTTTTTTCAACACGCATACCTTGTTTCCATGGCAAGACAAAGTCAAGACAGTCTGAGGTGGGCTGAGCTGCAGTGAGGAGCAAAGTGATACAGTCCGTCTACGCGTGCCACACGCGAGCTGGTCGCCGACCGGTCTCAGATCTCACGCGGGTGAGAATGCTATGGAGGCCACATCGGGGGACCCACCGCAGTCTGATCCCCACTCCTGAGGAAAACCGAGTTACCCTGTCAGGTGGCAGCTTCCCAAGCCACAACTCTTCGCGCGTCGCAACAGGCCCAGGCGATGAGGTGGATTCCCCCAGAGTCGGCCTCGCTCCGCCCTCTCGCGGCCATTTGACTGGTCCAATCTGTCGTCCAGCGGATGATTAAATTGGCACAGTGATTGACGTGACTTGAAGGTCAAAGCTTAAGGCATCCAGTACGCATGCCCATTGGTATTTGCAGATACGCGCGGACCCAGCACAACACGGTCGACGAGTGCCGTGAGCCAGCGCATCTGCGTCTGTGAAGCCACGTGCATAGCCATCAACCCATTGGCGGGAACTTGTACATGTGCAGTTTTAGCGAAGAACACGAATCTTGATACTGGACAACTGAACACTTAAAAATGTTTGACCGAGCCGTTGTCAGACTGTGGCTCTAGTTACAAATGCCGGAGGATTTAAAAATTCAGACATGCCCTTTCGGGTTTTTTCTAACGCATTTAGACAGAGTGTTTGGATTTTCACACCACCTGTTACCAGCTTGTATATTTATTTTGGAAGCACCTCAGTTTAGAACAGTTCGGACAGAAGGCAGAATAAACAAACTTCCCAGAATTCTTTCAGTTTGTATGACTGTGGACATCCAGGAGAGTGCTTACAATCAAGAAATGTTCCTGATAAAGGCAGAGGGAAACCGTAAAAGTAATTTCCAACTAACCTGTCGCTATAAGTCAACCGCGCTCATATCGACTATTTCTTTGGTGGACAAAAGAGACATGTTGTGAAGAAGGAAACACGACCGCTGGGACAAGAGCTTTATTAGCCTGACGTTTCGGACTCCCGCTCGAACCCATCATCAGAGACATGATCGGAACAGAGCAAATGTTGACAAAGACTAGGAAGTCTTGCTTTCTTATTCCTCACTTTTCCACTCACGTCAACCAGCCAGACTCCGATCCTAGGTTGTCGATAAAACGAGATCAGAAATCGAACTCAGGTGGTCTCTGGTCATCGGGATCGAGTACGCTGTCATTTAAACTACGGGTACGCACGCGTTCGATTACACAGGCGCGGCGTTAACAGACGAAGCCGACGGGAGGGGGGCAACGGCAGGGAGAAGTACCCCAGGCATCTTGCATACAACTAACTGCCTACTTTACTTGTTTAAGTAGGTCGTGGGTTATTTACTACTGCTTCGCACATCGACTTTGTGTCCGACTTCGCCCTTTCGCTTTTATTCGTTCGTGGCCGGGGCGTCAGGATGATCCCGTTTGTGCGAGGGCTTACATCCGGAGTCCTCGTAGGTGGCTACACAGCAACAAACAGTTGTAACTAAATGCTACCAACGACGACAGGGCGGAACTGAATAATCATTTATGGCATATTTGTTGTCCTCGTCAGTACCCCTTCTACATTATTAGTCAGCGGTGTGAACTCAGGGGCTCAGGTGGTAGAACGTTCGACTCTGCGTGATCGTCGATCAGTTGAAGTGGACTTAAACATCAGGTACTCTAGGCTGTGGGATCGGGATCGTCCTCACACCCCCTAGTCCTTGAAAGTATTCCTTTCAAATTTCGCCGCCTCTATAGTCATGGCATCAAACCAAGACTTCTCCAAATGCCGCATTGGCCACTTACACACAGCGAAGCCCCGTTAAGTTGATGTGTCCTTACGAAATTTCGCGTCTACACCATCGATCATAAAACTAAACTTCCAGCTGTCTGCCAGGAGCGTCCTGTAAACGCTACAAGAACGTCTGTGGCCCGAACAGAAATCTACATCGTGTTCGTTATGTCTAACTGTGCAAACTGAGGAACTGATGCTTCGTCCTCTAGAGGTTCCGTCGATTTTGGGCTGATCTAAGTTTGGAAGTGGACGTGTCATAGGTTGCTGTGCGCGCCATGAAGTTTATTTTGTAAGGTTAGGATACGCGACCCCCTTGAGTGGTTGCTCAGAAGCCTACCTTCTTATCTTAGTTAGGTGTGCTTCATAACGGCCCGCGATAGGGGTTGCCCGTTCTAGGCTCAAGAGTGGGGTTTGGGTGACGGTTAGAATGGGTTATTTGGGTTATTCTTGGGACTAGCGTTGTCAGGCTTGGGCTGTGGTTTGGATTTGAGGTTGAGGCTTGACTTACGGTTAATGATTTCCCATTTAAGGCATGGCCATGGTTGGTGTTAGGTTTGTGACTAACTATGCCTCCTCCCCCTAAGGGGATTACATACTTTACCCTGGCCGAGTATTTGATCTTATAGAAGTGAGCAACAGTTGTGTTTTACTACCTGTGTGCACTTTAGGCCCGTTGGGGGTTAAGTTCAAGAAGTACCAGCTGCGATTTAATGTCCGTAGTGAGCATCTCACAAGATGTGGTGTGGGAACATCTACCGGTGATCATGAGGAGGAAATATCTCGACAACTAGGTACCCCGGGCGTGGCTGAACATCACATGAGGCGTGTTCTCGGCTGCTGTTACAAAACAACAGCGACCCTTTTGTCACACGGAATTTGCGTTTGACGAAAGGCGACGACTGAATATACAGACCCTAAATTTACTAACAATAACATGCCTACTTAATTCGCTTACGTAGGCACCTTATATTAGGGCTATGGTTGCGGTTGAGGTTGGACTAGAGGTTACGTTATGTGCAAAATTAAGGTTAGAGAAAGCGTTTGTGTTAAGGTTAGGGGCAATTTTGTCTGCTGCATATCGTCTTACCGAACCCAGCTTTCATTAACGGATAGCCTTAGATTACCTTTTTTCCACTCGTATAAACACCTCCAATTCTCATATTTCAACCAGCGCGGTCTTGTTCCGGTACTTCTTTGGAATAATAAAACAGACATTTGGCAGGAATGCGAGTTTTCTCAATGTCCGCTACAGATTCCATAAATTTCCGCGCCCATCTGCCCTACTGACGGCTAATAGCATCCTTCCCGTATTACAGGAGTCCTTGAGCTCTATTTTCTCAGTTGGCTTACACGCGTAACCTTCGGCTGATGAAAAGGATGACTTTCGACGACACCAAAAAGAGGATTACGTGGTGAATTAACAAGGATGAGCCCCCGGTGCATGACAAAACTAGACCACTCGGGGAAAATTATAGCCGCCTTTTGGTGATTTACTCTAGTGCTACTCCACTGCCGGATCTTCAGATCTATCTGTCCCGAAAAAGGTAGCGTGACTTTGGACAGACTCATTCAAGTGACTCGATCGCAAAAACCTGGTAACCTCGGCAGGATTCTAAGCCACGGCAGAATGAGCAGAATTTTGGTCCAACCGACATCAGGAACATCTGGTCTGTGAAATCCCGAATGAGAGCGTCTCGTTTTTAACATTTGGACTAGGTAACCCAAACTATCCACTGCAGTATTCAAAATTCACCAATTCTCATGCAGTAGACTGATCTTCCAAGTAGGGTTTCCTAGTCAATCAACCTAAAGTACAGTAGATGTGCTAACTCATGAAATGTTAACCGAAATTCTAAGATGAGTTTTCGTTTCGAAAAAGTTTGTTTAAATAGGGCTGTAATATTAATCACTGTGCAGCATAATTTCATAGTAATTCCGTTATCCCAAGATGCCGACGTTCAAACGAACTTCTTTTCGGCAGAGTATAGTTTTTACAGGCGGCCGGAAAGAAATTTATTTAAAAGCCGGCATCCTGAAATAGCTGAATTACTACTTAAGTAACCTTTTCGAGTCGAAAGGGCATTTCAGAATTTTGGTTAACATTTCATGAGCTCGCACATCTACTGTACATCAGATGCCTACTAGACTGATATTCATAAGTTTTTTTTGAAATTTTGGGTGGGCAATTCGGCCGGGATGCTAAAAACTCATGTTTCTCTGCCAATACATCGTAGGTTAGGTGGATAATGAGTGGGTTTGACTAAACTTACGCTCTTAGTTTCGTGGTTTCTTATCTCGCCGAGGTCTTCGGCCCATTCCAATTGGGTCAGTTGAATTAGCCGGATCCGCCAAAAACACATATTATGAAAACATATGACGCGAGAGTGCATTCACGCATGATAAATACAACTTTTGACAAGGGTTTGGCTTATGGCTGGGGTTATTTACTCCGGGGAGCGATTGTGTCGATCAAAAGAGCTGAGCATCTAAGAACTTTGTGAGAGCATAGTTTGATCCACAACATTGTCACCAATTAAAAGGGGATATTTTTTACCATTCAATGATAGCAGTAAATGAATTTCATGCCCCTTTGCGGGCATTGTCGTATTTTTACTCCAGTAACTTCCCAAAAGGACCTTGACCATCCTCATGCAACAGTCACCGCGAGGTCTTTTTATTTCTTTCTCTGGTATGTACGTACAAATAAATATCGCTAACCATTTTCTTTCAGCCCAATTGCTTTCCGGAGTAAATAGCTCCGACCATAAACCACGCCCTTGCCCAACATCAAACGCCAGAACAGTGTTGAAAACTCCCAAGACGAACAAGTGCGTGCGGATTCCTAAGGAATTGGAAGAGATCTGCATGGATAAGGCATCTTTGACGGACAGGGGAACGTCCGATCAGCATTTATACAGATTATCCAGTTGAACATCTTAGCGACGATGGCAGACTTAGACTTTGGGCTAACTTTTGCATCACCTGATCAGTATAAAAATTCTCTAAAAGACGACTCAGCTGCTCGTGAATACATAGATTCATCTTTTTAATGAAGAAAAACTGCTGAAGATGCTCCATTCCATTCCATGCATGCTCGGACAATGACATAAGGAATTTGGGAAAGAAAAAATTCGCAAGCAAAAAAGACTCCATTTGAAATGAAATAAGTGGACCAAAGGAGTAATGTTGAAAATGAAGGACTCATAAAACACGAATTTCCGCTTTCTTTTAGCAACTTCTCTCGATTTGTGGGCAGGTCGTTGTGAATGCAGGGATATTAGTTTGCGTTTCCCAAGGAAGGATAAGACTTCAAACACACAGCATTACCTGGCTTTTCGCAATACCTGTGCAGTTTGGGGCATATATTATTTCGATTTACTCATCTTCATCACTGTCGTCACGTACAACCCTGCTGTACACCGACGGCATTTTCACCGAGGGCCGTTTATTGTCCACGGCTAGGCTGCTGATCAGACGGTCGGCGTCCCTGCGTAAGACCTTCAAGGCCATCAACATATCGTACTTGGGGTCGTCCTTCGACAGACTAATTTCCTGACGACGTTTCACGGGGCTCTTTTCCCCGTCGACGATTTCCGTCTTTAAACGAGTATAGGGGCTCTTCCGACAACTGGGCTTCTGAGACCTGACGACCGGAGTGTCGATGCAATAATCCAGGGAGGAAGGCATGTCAGGAGTAGAACGCGGATCCAGTGGGCGGCGGGAAGACGCATGATTTTTCAGTCGTAGCCGCAAAAGGCGCTTCAGCTTCCTTCGTTTAAAAAGGACCTTATAAATGAGATCTTCAACTGCCTGCTTCAACTCATATACCTGCTTTGTCGTCGGCAGGGACTGTTTGTACATTCGATCTTTTTCCTGGACTCTTGATTTAGCAATGCTTCGACATACCAACTCCGCGATTTCTGAGTTCTCCTGTCTCACGTCGGCTGCCAGGAGTTCGAGACTGCGCTCAATGGTTGTCAACATACGAACGACATCGGACTTAGTGCCAGCATTTGACCTTTTATAGATAGGTTCGGGTGAGAAGTGCGACCGCTGAATAGACTGTGAACCGACCCACCTACGGGCCGAAAAACGTCGGTCATCGGCTTCCAAGTCAGTGGGCTCAACGGAAGAGGAGGTGTCGGTATTCATATAGTCTCTCGTTGGCTCGCGTTTCCGACGCATGGATGGCAGAGGTGAGCTGGGAGGGCATGTTGGTTTATTCTGCAGAAAGCCGTTGGTCTGAACGGATGAACACACCATCTTCTTGTCTTCAAGGAGTCCGCTAAGCAGGGATCGAAAGCATTTTGCTATTGCTTCCAGCTCGGCAGGAGGATCAGAATTTTCTCCAATGACTCCAGGACACTGAGAAGACAACTTGTTTCTCTTTACAGGGCTTTCGCAGATCCGCGACGGTAACTCATACAGTTCATCTGATTGTCTGCGCTTATAGCTGCCGATAAGGGGACTGCAGACGGACGCTTTTGTGTCGGGCTTCCGAAGGGAAGACGTCGGTTGATCAGTCCTCCCATCGGTGTTTCCTTTTATTAGTCGGGAAGCCTGTCTCAGACCGATTAATGATGTTCTGAGGACCGTTTCTATCTCTTCCTGTGCTACGCGAAGTTGGTCTTCCTCCTCACGAGCATTTGGGTTCTGAACTATGGAAAATAAGTCCCCAGAACCTTCAACTGCCGCAGGCTTTGTATTCATCTTCTGGGAGTCGAGACGACCTGCCGATTTATCGGAGGGAATCCGTCTAGAAAGATTCTCCAACCTCTTCCGCATGCACCGTAGAAAACTCAGTGAATCTGACACTTGCCCAAACTTGTCCTTCGTGAAGGTTGTGTACTCACTGGGTTCAGAATACTCGCTTTGAGGAGATTCTCGTGCCTGAAAATCGTACGGGAAGCTGTGGTCTTCCATTGGTCTGTAAACAGTTTTTTGGAGAGGACTGTACCGATTTTAACGAAGCTCAAATGCCGGTCCGCGAAAGAGGACCATTCTTAGTTTAGTTCAGTCTATCAAAACACCAGCGGCGGCAAAACAACCTTCACGCTGAATGTTCCTGCAGTCGTTGCAATAAATTGTCCCCAGCTAGAATATGGTGCCAAGAAGACCTGCTTTTACCCACCCCGTGCTGAGTGAAAATCCGTGTGGGGCTGCTTATCTAATATCGATTAAAGATTTGAAATCTGTGCATGATCGTCCAGTTTGAACAAACATTGCTACTTACAAATAAAAGGTAGGTATGTATGTATATCAATTTAATTATTACTGACGGACGAACGTTAGAAAGTAATTTGGAAGACGACTAGATGCCAAAACACTTCCAAAAAGTACACGAAATCCTCTTACCGTATCTTAGACTGCCTATTAACAACTTTAAAATGAATGCAGTCTGTCCAGGTTTTTTAGTATTGTACGGTCCTTCGTCATAGGCCCTTTCTGTACACTTCATAAGCACAATTTGACAGAAAATGCATTGAAAATGTGTCTGCTAGAGTAACAAGACAAAGTACAACACTTTCGAGTTTAAAATAAAGTTAAAACCTGGAATCGTTGCTGAAAAGACCAGGGGCTATGGACCAACAGTTTCTGGCTTATTTGACACCATTAGTCGGCCATAACCCAGTCAAGATGAAGTCGACGTGGGATTTGAACCCTGGTCAGCAGGTTTTTGGGTTATGAGCGTTTGCGACAGAGCAGTTGGAGAATGTCGAGTTGCTTTCCAGAGATCATGAAAAGAGCAAAGACCCCGGACGCTCTGGTTGCCTGTTCTGGCAAGGTTATCCATCTACCAGTTTATAATTCCAGTCGTAAACCTAAGGCCAGGGTTGGAATGGCCATTTCTGGCTTATTAACCGTCGTCAGCCAGTCATATCCAGCCATAAGGTATGGAACGCCTAAGGCTCGATCTCTCAACCTGCTAGTTGGAAGTTCAACGCCTCTAATCACTGAGCCACGGGCTGGCGGGATCGAGCCCCAGGTGTTCCACACCTCGGGGTTGGGCATGACTGGCCGACGACGGCTAGTAAGCCGGAAATGGCCATTCCAGTCTCTCTTGTCTTCGTAGGTAATATTACTGTGCCTTTATTACGCGCCGCTGTGCGGCTTCTGGTTGGGCTCGAGAAGGAGCCCTAAAGCACAACGGGACGAGCGAGTTCCGTAAGAACGATCAGCGAGTCCCCCCTATCACCCTAAGGCCGGACACGTATCTTGAATACCTTGGATAATCTGTATGGCTTTTTATCCTCTGTTATTGCCAATTGACAGAGACGAGTGATATGGATCTTCCTGTCTGGATCCGAGACGCCTCTTTCTTGTTTTGGTCCACAGCGAGCGGACCACGCTCAGGCAGGTTATTTAGCCTGCGGCTGATCGCGCCACCGATCTTTGTGACGCTACGCAAACAAGTTGAGTACGCGAAGAACGAGACACGATCGTTGAAGCAGGAGCTTTACTAGCCTGACGTTTCGGATTCTCACTCGAACACATAATCGGAGAGAGTCGAGGCTTTTAAGTGCAAGTTGGACCAGTGTACCACTAAGCGTCATAATGCCACCTGACCGACATCGTCTTAGCATTTCGTCAAAACAGTTTATTAACGTTATTATATTACTTTAAAAGAAGGCGAAGGCACGATCACTGTCACAGTGACCGTGCCTTCGCCTCATTTTGAACAAGAACCTGGGATGCGCATATTCTCTTCCATTCGTATTATATGACTGTCTGAATTTCAGTAACGTTTATTTTTATTATTGTCCCAGCTTTGTTGAATGTGAATGTTGGCATTCAATTCGTCTCCCTCAGAAACTGAGATCGAACCAATTATCCATAGACAGACTACTGTACAGCATATTTAGCAACTTTAATGTTTTTAACATTTGGAACAATTCGTTTATCTGTCTGGTTTCGAAAATTTTGCCAATCTGCGAAAAACTTTGTAGCTGTTTGATGTTTCCATTATAAAATTTTTGATATAATTAGTTTTCATGTAACAAATAGGGAGTTCAAAGGTTCAACACCTATGTCTCCCTCAAATAAACCGACACTGAAAAACTGAGACTGAGAGATAAGGGTGGTAAATTGCCCAGATGTTGCAGTATTTATAGAGTGCTCTTGCTAAGCCATTAAAAGCCTATCACAGTTGGCAGCTCAGGGGTGCATCACGGCTAGACTGGCCAGGTATTAAAGCATGCAGATGTCCTGCAGTTGCTATGCGCTCGTGTACCGGTGATCATCGGCTTCTCTTTGTGACCCTGTCTGGGCTTAGCTGGGTGAGGGAGGAGAGATGCTACAGGTGTCCACTATCCTCATAAACTGAGTTACGCGCAAGTTACTAGCCCTGCGCCCGTTATGCTGTGGGGCACACGGTAGAGGTTTTCGTTCGCGACGGTCAGTCAGACAGATTCGTGCGGTATCTACGGAACTCTCTCACGGCTCACCCACCTTGGCAGGTCCGTCTACCCGTGCCACACACGTTCCAGTCACGTGTTTTGGACTCCTGTGAAGCAACACAAATACCAGTTTCCTGAAAATGACACAAAGACCTTGTTATGGGGAGGGGGATTGCAGCCTGACCCCTGGTCTCGAGAACAACCGAGTTATCCTGCTATTTGATAACTGTAGCGGCTAAGCGGCGATGGTGTATGCTCAGTGCGTCACAACTTCAGGCCATATCCCAAGTTGTTAGAAGCGGGACACCAGTTGGGTAGAAGATTTTATTTATTCTGTACAGAAGGATAGAGGAAAGTTGGCAACCGGACGAGGGTGCGTCCGGCGCCGCGGAGGCGACGTCAGCGAGTACGACGAACCGTGTGTCGCCGAAGGTCGCCGCTGCAAAAGTGTCGTGGAAGATTGTTTACGCGGTGGTCTAGACTGTGTAACCAATCAGCGAGAGGAGTTGCGTTGATTGGCTCAGAGCCCACGCGAGGGTAGTAACAAGCCTCGCATGCTGCAGACGGAGAATCGACCAGATGCGTGGTGCAGACAGTGAACTGCATCGAGAAAAATCGAAGCCGGGCAGACGTGCGTGCCATAGCAGGTTGTCGATAGGGCGTAGGTGCTGGCGCTAGCGAGAGGCGTGAAGTTGCCATTATGGGCGTCCACTACAAACCGTCCAAGTCATGAATCATAGCGCGTCGTGACAGCTTAGAAGGAGGCGACGCAAAGGCCTACGTTTAATCGCCCCACCACCTTCGCCCTCCCATGCGCGGAGGACTCGTGCGGGCTCTGAGCAGCCCGATTAATGCGCTTCATGGGTCAATGCGACTCCCCGTTTTGGTTCAATGCGTCTACGGCGCGGACCGTCTAGATTCAGTATCTTTGGCCATAGGGGACGGCATTGTGGGACCACTGCCCCGTCTGCCGCAGGGCAACAGCGGCCTACGCCCACGTCCACGCTCTCCACAGGGGTCAGCCGCGATGACGTGCAAAAGAAGGTCTCCATGCCATCCTAGGGACTGTACCAAAGGCAGACAAAATGACTGACCTTGACGACTTCAGTGTGCGCGCGCGTCAACACAGGCCATGCTGTCTGGGCGGGAATTCTGGGTCGCCAGGGCATCAACGGATGCAGGAACAATGTTCCTCTTTTTCCACTGGCCTGCACGGAACACGGTTCTCTCCTCCCAGCCAAGGCCTTCTTCCGTCCTCGTTCTGGTCGTTGACATCTGCTGGACAACATCCAAGTTCGGGGCTGTGACTAACGGTGTCGACTGCTAGACGTATCACTGCACGTAACCCGCAAGATGAGGCTCCCAATGCAATTTTTCGGGCTAACCATCAGTCATATTTTGACAATCGTCTGAATTTGCACCGGAAACAGATGCAGTCACTGGAAGCAAGCACAATTTTGAAGACACGATGGAGTCGACTGCGGAGCGCCACCTGCTTTACTGTTAGGACGTCCTCGGTCGCGCACCCCATCAACGTCAAGACTAATTTGATGACAAAGAGGAGAAAATCTGGGTCGTATCTTATTTCCTAGCTGTACCTGCAGTAGACAAGCCGCAATCTAACCCCTAAGCCCTAGTCCCAACCCTGAAAACCCCTTATCCTAACTCCAAACCCCAACCCATAACCTTAAACGCTAACCGCTGACTCCAACCCCTAACCCCTGGCGGCAGTGGCCACAGAAAAGGATATTGACAAAATCTGCATCCTGCGTTCCGTGACGACTTGGTCGTGCATAAACCACGTAAACCACAAAAGCAAAGCTATCAAAGAGGCTTTCTCCTAATGTCAAAGGTGCAGTAGCCAATGGGCTAAAAGCGAAATTCTTGGAGGGATACGGAAGACTAAAAAAATTCAAGGTCATTCAGACCCATGAATGGCCCCCTGAAGGCCGCTGCAACACCCAAGCCGTGAGGGCTGTGCCACCGCCCATTTTAGACAGACAAACAGCTCTGATGAAACAATTACAAATGTTAGAGGGTTGAACTTTGGAAGTATTCAGAGGCGTTCTCAACTGATCCTCCAAAATAACATACAGAAGCCACAAACAGGCTCCTTAAAATGAAAATAAAAGTAGACCTCGACCGTCTTTCCTTAATGTCAGTGACCGCAAAAATTATATGCCGGATGTCCAACTGCAAGTCCCCGGGCTCTGACTCGCACCCAGCTGAAATTTGCAAACCTGACGACTCACGGCTTCCGGAAAACCTCAACTCGCTGTTCCAGGAGATGCGAGGACGAGAACAAATCCCTCAGCGCTTCGGCTACAACCGCAGAGGCAACGACCTCTCCAGCACTATAGGCGAAATCTTCGTCCACATCCTACTCGATCGCCTTTGCCTTCATCTGGAGCGAGGGCTTTTCCATGAAATTCAAAGTGGATTTCGAAGGAACCGCTGAAGAATCTAAACGACATATGTTGTCGCCAAATACAATAGAAATATCAGGAAACGAAGACCAGGCTCGCG